ACTCCTCTGTTCATTTCCTCATCCATATTCGACAAACTCTGTGTGACCACTAGTCATGAAGCACTTCTGCACATATCAGGAATAGAAATAGAAACTCTGAGCTGTCCTCTCCTTTTCACAGTATTTAATTCTGGTAAGAAAGCAGATAGGTAGCTGAATAGGACATATCACAAACTGTGAAACAGGATTATAATAATACTGACAATAATACAATGACAGGCACAGCAGAATGGGGAAGCCTGTAGGAAGTGTATGAAGACTTATCAGAGACTTTCATGAGACATATTTTATGGCTCTACAATGTTACACACAGTTATATACACAAAGATGTTCTTATACCTACATTAGCATAGTACGCAGAACAGCAGACTGTGGCTAGTCAGGTAGTGATGTGGCTCACACGGTAAAGGGAGACTGGCACGAACAAGGCTGAATCCTACCATCAATGCTGGAAAAGCTAGTGTGCTGCCTCAGTCTATGATCCTAGCACTTGGAGGTGGAAGCAAGAGGATCAAGTTCTAACTAATTCTCAGATGCTTAGTGAGGCTGAGACTGTCTTAAACTACCTGAGACCCTTTCATTTAAAAAAAAAAAAAAAAAAAAAGATCTACAATGTATCAACATGTAAACAGATTTCTCAAAGGTTGTGGGTATTTATCCACCTGTCCTTTTCTGTATTTCCTAATTCTATAGGAATATATTAACCTTAACTTTGTTTCCCTGATCTTAAAAATCAATGTCTTAGGCAGCCACAGCAGCTGATGTATGTCAGCCCAACATGCAGGAGGCAAAAGCAGGATGGTCACCAGAAATTGTCTGAAAGAGCCAGACACACATACACATGCAAGTGCGTGTGTGTGTGTGTATGTGTGTGTGTGCACACGCACACCTCAACTCCATGAATCATTTTTAATGTTATCTTGAGAACATAATTTTACCTCTTTGTTCTTCTTAATCACTGAAACTGTCATTATCTGATTAAGAAAGGGAGACACCAAATTATAGCCCAAATATGCCACAAACAGGAATGATCCAAATAGCAGGAGCGTCACACCTTGGAATCCTGAACGAAGCCTTCTGGCATTTTTTCTCAGCTTGAGTTCTTTATTTTTCAATTCTTAATACACTCTTTCAGTTTGGTATATAATGATACTTGCCCCTAGCACTGATTCAACAGAAAGACTGACAATGTCCAACCTTTCCCTCTAGGCTAACATGGACTGCAATCTCTTCAATGTACTGAACTTGCAGAACAACAGGAGTGACGCCTGTTCCTACTCAACCTTCTGTCACTCATAGTACACCAAATAACTCTGTGTTCTCAGAGTCAAACAACCAAACAAGCCTGTGTTGTCTTACAAAGCCTGAGAACATTTACCTTGACTTTCACCAGCCTTTTCACAGTCTTGATCTTTGCCTCACAGAAGGCCCCTCGGTACTTGGCACTGACGTCGGTTCCCACTGTCAGGTAGGCAGGCTCATCTGCCGCCTGAGGAAAGAACAGAGACTCCAAACATCATTACTGTTCGCCTTGACCTGATCTCTAACAGCACCAAAAGGAACTACATCTAAAGTCACTAGAACATTGACAATTTTTGCTTAATAAAAGTGATAATTTGCAAAATATTCCAAAACTCCAAACACCTTATTAACACTATTTTATGTATGGCACCATTTTCTGGTGCCATAAAAGTTGTAACTAGAAACTACCAGTAGGGGAAAAAAAGATTTTTTTTTTGAAGTATACATGTTTTAAAAAATTCTACAGTTTAATATATAATAGATAGAAAAATAAACAGAAGAAATGTATTTATATTAAATGTCTCATGAACTTTATCAGTTTGGGGCCTCCAGGTGATTCTATTTTCTAGGTTAAAAAGAAATAATGCTACAAAGTTAATATTAACAATACGTAATTAAACGTTTAGTGAGACAGATTATGAAGGTAACATCTTCTTTTGTTTGCTTTAGGCTTTTGGGACACGGTGCAGGCTGTCTCTGCCTCCTAAATACTGTGATTACAGGCCAGGGCCATCAAGCCTGGCTAAGGCATTATCTTTTGATACAATGTATCTTTACACACAAGAAACTAAGCAACCTCTTTCCAAAATTGCTTTGGATGAAGGTTGCATTTGAAAGGTTTAAATCTAAATTCAGTTGATGAAAACTGAGAGCTAAAGGCTGCAGTCATTTCTAGTTTACAACACTAATCTTCTCAGTATACTTAAAATAATTTTTATTAAAAAATGACCACTTAGCTGGGCATGGTGAGAGGTGGAGGCAGAGGCAACAGGATCTCTTTAAATTCTAGGCCAGCCTGGTCTCTGTTACACAGAGAAACCTTGGAGAAAAAAGAAAAAAAAAAAAGAAAAAAGGAAAGAAAAGAAAGAAAAAAAAAACACCCACATACAGGAAATAGTCACAATCATAATTATACATATATATATATATAAATGAGATATATAAGAAACTTCCACTTATAAATCATTTTAATCTTGAGACTAACAGACAAGCTATTTTAGTCTGCGATGTCACCTACTTCAAAAGCTGAACATACTCATACAATTAACTCAACATTATAAATACAAAGATATCAATGTTAACCATAGTTAACTTAGTTAAATATTTTAAATAGGAAACAATCTTTCATTTTCCCAAGTAATATTAAAGGAAGTTGTGTCACTCCAAAATAAAAAAATAAGAGGAAGTTTGAGAGTTTCAGAAAGTGGTATACTTAAGAGTCAGGCGTGGTACAGCATGCCCATCCTCCCAGCACTTGGAACTTGGAGAGAAGCAGCCTTGAATCACACTGTGAGTTCCAGGACAACCTGGGCTAAAGTATATTGCTTCAAAATAACCTTAACAAAAACAACTATATATTCCACACACACACACACCCCACAATAGTAAGTACAACACTGATCAAGCACTTTTAAATGTCAGTCTACTTTAAAAAGAATAAAAAATGAAGGGGAATACTTTTTGGTAAGTATCTGACCAGAAACAAACAGGCCACAGCATCCTAAGGAATTCTTAAGAATGTTATCAAAGTTTCCTTTCTCTTTAAGCAGGCAGCCAGTGATGTTTTTAAGACTAGGATGCTTCAAAAAAATACACATAGAATCCATATTTTAAAATACATATTATGAAGACTGAACTAATCAATCTAAATCACCTTAGTTTACTTTTTTTCCCAAGAAGTACACGGAACTCTCTCTTATTTGAACTACATATCATTCCGTTTAGAAAATGACATTGGTAGTGGAAAGGGGGAAGTATATGTTTTTAAAGAAAGCAAAAGCAAAACAAAACAAAGAAAACTTTAAAAAACAAAAACAAAGCAGGTCAACAAAAGCTTTACTTCTTGAAAGGTTTTTACACTGAAGTGTTTGAAAACCGAAAGACTGCACCGATCTTTTCAAAGTGCTAACTGCTAGAGTGTTGAACTGCCTGCATTTAGACACACACATACACATACATACATACATACACACACACACACACACACACACACACATACATACATACACACCTCACCCATTCACATGTCATTTTCCTGAAAAGTGCTTCTTAGTAAAGAAATCAATTTTAAGTAACAAAACGCTGCCATTCCACAACTGCAGCCTCCGGACTGGCAGCGTCCAGGGCACAGGGCTGCGAAGAGTTGGCTCCACTTACCTTCATCTTGACTGGTGACCTGTGGGGTTCCAGCTTCCTCGAGTTCTCTTCCCGGGCGCTAGAGCAAGGAAAAGAGACAGAGGATCAGTCCAAGGCTGGGTGAGACCGGGAAAGAAAGTAAACAAATGCAGGCGGGGAGGGGCCGAGCTCCGCGGCCCCCGGGACAGACCCCCCGTCGGGCAGCCAAAGCCTGGCGGGCAGTGAGCCCCACGCGCGCCAAAGGGCAGCGCGTCTCGCCCCTGCCCGGCCGGCCGACCCACCGCGCCCCCTCCTTGTCGGCCACTCGCAGCCCCTGCGCCCCGGCCTCCCGGATCCGCGCCCCGCCGGGCCCCGACTCTAGCGCGCGCCCCGCCTCCGCCGCTCGGCCCCCTTGGCCCGCCCCGGCCCGGCCCGCGGCGGCGGCAACGGAGTGTCACGGCGCCATTGCTCTCCTGCCTCCGCTCTGCACCATGTCAGGAAGGAGAAGCGCTCCTTCACCCGTGGGGCAGGGGCGGCGGCCTGCGGCGGCGGCCGGCGCAGGGGGACCCGGCGGGGGAGGCGCGGGGCGGGGAGGCGGCAGGACAGGGTGTGGGAGGGGAGCGAGCCGCACCGCCGCAGCGGCCGTCTCCTCCCGCGCCCGCCTCAACTTTTTGTACAGCCCGGAGAGGCGCGGGCACCCCGATCTCCGCGGTCCAGTAGCGGGTCTTCGCCAAAGAGGCACAGCAGAGTTGGGAGCTGGTTCTCCCGGCAGCCCGCTCCTCCAGAGCAAACTTAGCGGCGCGGCCAGCCCCACAGCCATTTTCCCGGGGAGGCGGCGGAGGCGGTCGTGCCCGCAGTTGCCGCCGCGGCTCCAGGACCGGATCGCTGCCCGGCGCCCCCGACACAGCCCGCCCTGCATCCCCCTCCCCGCCTGCGGAGCTCCCAACTGCACCGGGACCCCATCGAGGCAGCAGCTGCTCCCGCCGCTTTGCCCATTCAGCGGCCCCCGCTGACCACCTACCTACTGCGGGTGCAGAGCGTTGTCAGCTCTCAAGTCTGCCGCCCCACTGATCGCCGTGGGTCCCCGTCCGGGCAGCACCGCTCCCGGCCGCAGCGGCAGTTCCTGCGCCGGGTTCCCCCACTCGCCCCGATTTACTGCCACAATCCACCAAATAACAAGCTGTTGAGCAGACTCGCTTCTACACGAACTCCTATTGGCTGCTCATGACGCCGAATAGCTTCGGATTGGAGCTCGCTGTCTCCCTTTCTCATTGGATGTAGCTGTGAAACTTCCATGATTGGTGCGGAAAACAGCAGGTAGGACATCTTCTACTTCTGATTGGCTGGATCCGGAGACGCACGTTATTGGAGAGTAGAGGATTGAGTAAGAGAGCCCAAAAAATTGATTGGAGGAGCCGACTCCGGATGTGCTTGATTGAACACTGATTGGAGAACAGAGGGGTCAGGAAGAGCAATTCCGCACGAGGATTGGGCGGTGGCGTGTCCCATGGAAACGGAATCCAGAACTGCAGCCAGGGTTTTGCACGGAGGCGGAGCCGGGTCTTCCCCAAGCGCCTGCGCCTAGCCGGTTTCCCGGCGCCATTTTGTCCCGGCAGCAAGAGCCTGCAGCTCTATCCCATTTTCTGCGTCTAGAGGGAAGGAAGCGGACTCTATCTGGTAGGTTTATTTCAGTGTGGCACCGGTTTACTCTTCACCCCTGGACAACGCCTAGCGAAGGGTGGAGGAGTCGCGGAGTCGTCCGAAAGGTCTGTTGGAGGCTCTGGGTGTCGGGTGGCCTTGGGGGTGGCGCAGCTCTAGGAGCACCGGAAGCGAGGGCGGCCATGGGAGCCGCTGTCCGGCGGCGGAGCGTGGCTGGGGGCGAGGAGGAAGGGTGCGAGATGGGGGGCGCACGTGCAGTTTACTGAGGCGATCCTTTGCGCCTCTTAACTCGGGATAGCGAAATTTTACTGACATCTTTCCTCCCAGAATAAGTCTGTCTCCATTTGACATGCATTTCATAATTGCGGTCTGTAGACACCAGGGGCCCAAGGTTGGCAGCCTCCTTCGTGAAGACGGAGGAGGTGTGGTTTCTAGAACCGTCTTGCGTGGGGAGAAGAGGTATTTCCTCTAACTGTGAAGCTATAAGGAAACGTGGAAGCTCAGGGTTTCGGAATGCTGAGGAGTGTATCCGCCAGGACAGACGCTACTGCCACTATGACCTTAGACAAGCGCCTCTTGTCACTGCTTGAGGCGTGTGGTATACTATTATTTCAAAGAAAGTAGTAATGGTTCTGGAAGGAACGAAAATTTCTTAGATGGAAGGATTCTCTGTGCCGGATAGACATGGGTTCAGTCGTCAGCACATTGTCTTGTTAAATGACAACAAAACTTTACAACTGGATAACAGCGTATGCACTGAATTAAGATGTTAACCGCACTAAATTTGCCCAACTGAGTACGTCTTAACTTAAAGCCATATCAACTATTTTATTTGTTTTTTTTTTCAAAATTTGTTAAGATTGTGAAGTGTATTTTGGTAGTTTACTAAGTCATATCTATCTTTTAAATCTAACTGCTAAGTTTGGTAATGCACGAAACTAGGAAATCATTGAATAAACAGTCGATTGAGGATTTTTGTTTGTTTTTCTAGAGTTGTGCTGAAGACAACAGACACTTCCATGACATCCCAAAGTATCACAGAGGTGAGTCTTCATGTCTGTTGAAATCTTGTGAATTGGGGCAGGGGTGTGCTGAGGTTCTTTGTAGACAGGTACTAGAAGGCTATGTGACTGGTTGTTGAAGGTGTTTTGTTAGTTCAAGCTTTTGAGTGAGTCAGTTTAATTAGCTTCCTGATGTCATGTCGGAGAGAGAGCCACAGATAAAACCATCCTTAACATTTACACTCACCAATTCTGGTGTTCTCCTTCCTGGGACTTTGGGTTTTTTGAGACAGGGTTTTGGTAGTCTAAACTAGTCTGGACCTTGTGATGGCTTTCAAGGAGCCAGGTAGCCAAGGATGACCTTGGACTGGTCTCCCTGCCTCAGCTCCACAGTACACCATGCCCAACTTTTATTCTTAGACTTTTTAACACTCAGTACATTTAAGTCAGAATCTGAATGTCTTCCTGATTTTGACCCCCACTCTTGAGAAAGGTCTGATTAGTAAGTGTTTAGGCAGAAAGAATTTTGGCTTTCTGTTGTCTTGTTTTTTAAGAAAATTACATGTATACTGCTGATACTCCCTGGTAGTAATTGCTCACACATTATTCCACTATGAAGTTTTAGGTATACATAATTTATGCCAGTGTGCTTTTGAAAATTAATGAAAAATAAAAATCTCTTACAGTCTCTCCACCAAAGTAGAATAAAGTTTATTCTGTATTCATGGGATTCAGAATGTTTTTTTAAACGACTTTTCTTCTAAAAATAAAGATGTGTTCATTTTGTTACTTGGCGCCCCCCCCCCCCCAAGAAAACCATTGGGCCCTCCAAAGTAGTTTCTCTATAAAGCACATTCCATGGATATCTGGGATAGATGAATCATGATTTAAGCTTTGGCTTGCTGCAGTTGAATGCAGGCCCTTGGGCAGCATGACAGGCAGGTAACCTCCAGTGAACTACTCTCAGCCCAATATATCTTAGTTCTAGAGAGCTTTCCTGTCTGTTTTTCTGTGATAGCCACAATAAGCCACTTGAGTTTTCAGAATGCTGTGCCTAAAAACTAACATCAGTGGCTGAAATTTCCAGGCTTCTGGGTTTTATTTGATAGCCCTGGCTCCTCTTTGGAGTAGATTTGATTTTGTTTGGTTGGTTAGTTGGTTTTTTGGTGTTTGTTTGTTTGTTTGTTTGTTTGAGACGGTTTCTCTGTGTAGCCCTGGCTGTCCTGGAACTCACTCTGTAGACCAGGCTAGCCTCAAACTCTCGAACTCAGAAATCCTCCTGCCTCTGCCTCCCAAGTGCTGGGATGAAAGGCGTGCGCCACCACTGCCCGGCTTGGAGTAGAATTTCAAAAGAGAGAATGAAAAGCTTTCTGCAAGGCTGTGTGTGTTTTCTTGTTGCTTATTGAGATGGAGTTACTGTTTCCTCCCTTCTTAGCCATGTTTCACTCTGTTCCCTAGGCTGGCTCAGAACTCAAGACTCTGTAAGTCTCCTGCCTCAGCTTCCCATCTAGTGAGGTCTACAGGTCTTATCCCTATTGCACCTGGCAGAATTGTCACAAACTTCAAGCTACACATAGAGTAAACTTACAGTTTCTCAAAAGATTTTATTTTTTATTTAGGAGTACTTGAGGCATTTCTACATTGAAACATTTTGCTACACAAAAAATGACATTTTATTTTTATATGAGTACACTGTATCTCTCTTCAGACACAACAGAAGAGGGCATCCGATCCCATTACAGATGGTTGTGAGCCACCATGTGGATGCTGGGAATTGAACTCAGGACCTCTGCAAGAGCAGTCAGTGCTCTTAACTGCTGAGCCATTTCTACAGCCCCAGAAAATGACATTTAGGGTTACCAAAAACAAATTATTTCCTTAGAGTCTTCCTTAAGGCGTCCCACACTCCTATGAGTAGATCCTTTCAGGATTTTAATAGCCTTATAGGACAGTTTACACAGCTCGTCATCCTACTTCCTTGACAGTCATTTGTCTCTTCTCTAGTTTGAGACCCTATTTGCAAAAGGCAACTATTTTGAATCACTCGTAATCATTTTGTACCTAGTATGTGTATAAACATGAATTGTATATATATTTGTATACAAAATAAGTGAAATAATAAGATACTGTACTATAACAGCAGTTCTTTTCTAAAACTGTTTGAACATCTTGGTCTTCAGATTTTTAATATTACAATTTAACTGATTTTTGATTGTTAATAATATACAGATTTAAGGCTAGGGAAATGGCTTAGTGGTTAAAAGTCTTGCTGAACCAGCACAAAGCCCTTAGTTCAACTCCCCACTATGCATCGGCAAAGCTGGCTGTGAGGCATCCCTGTAGCTCCATTCCCCAGTGAGAAGAGGCAGAAGGAGTAGAGTAGAGGCCTCCATGGCTACCCAGTGTAGCCTGTTAATGAGCTTATAGTTTTAGTAAGAAAACCTGTTTCAAAAAACAAAGTGGAGAGTGATACAGGAAGACACCTGACATCATCAGTCAGTCTTAGAGCCATATGTGCTACATTGTTCACTGTACACACAATATGGAGACTGAGAAAACCCATTAAGAGTAGATCAACTGGGCCAGGTAATGCAAGCCTGTTATCCAGCACTTTGGAGGCAATATAGACTTACAGAGGCCACCTGAATCCTGAATAGTTTGGTTTTAGTTGTCATCATTGAGCTAATTACAATAGGTTCGGTAGCAATCACACTTTACTGTACCCTCTCTAAGAAAGGTCAGAAGAAAGGAAATCTCTTTGTCCTTGTCCCTCACATTCACAGGAAGTAGACTTAGATAAGGAGAGGTCCTGGCTTTTGCCAGTTATTTTGCCTTCTGCTCATTCTTTCACAGGAATTCTTACATCTGCAGAGAGAAGTTAATATCTTAAAATAGATATTTTTAGCACATAGACAGTAAAAAATTTAAAACTATATAGAAAAAATTTCTGGATTGATTCTAAAGCGAAGAATAAGACATTGTCAGTTAGTAACAGACCCAACAGAGATTGTAATGCCTTACACTGATGCTGAAATTACCTTATTATGAGTAATCAGTGAGGATCGGCAAAGAGCTTGCAATAATTTTGGGGGGAGAAATTAATAAGAAATACTTCAAGCAAGCAACTTCAGTTTATAAAAAGAACTAATTGGGTTCTTCTGAGTACAGTAAGAGGAACAGCAGTTGCTAAAGCTCCTACCTTTTATCTAGATGCCAATAAGTTAGGAATGGTGGGTTATAAGTCATGAGATATACGTAAAGTCATCAAGAAAGACCAATATTCTTCAGTTCAAAAATCAAAACTATATGGTACTCTCATGATTCTGTTAGATTTTCCAGAATCCTTTAATACAATCACTGACTGTCAATATGCAAAAGAGAGTTGTTTAGCATGTATAAACTGCTGAACTGACTCCAGGTGATGAGAACTCACTTTGTTTTTATACTAACTGCAACAGGTAATTGGAAACAGATTATCCATTACATATAACCACGTACAGTCACATATGGGTTTGCCAGGACCATTGGCACTAGAAAAGCTGTAAACTGGTTATTAATAGGAAATGGATTAGAAGCTTTAGTTTTTTATAAAAGGCATTATATAAATAGAAGTTTAAAGAAAAATTTTTCTGTAATCAGGTGACAAGCCAAGGAAATTATAAAAAATTGTCCTGTTTGTTCTTTGTGTAACCAAGCTCCATTACCTGCTGGAGTAACCCTAAAGGTACCTAAGGGAATGAAATTTGACAGGTGGATGTGTTTGATTTTACAGAGTTTGAAAACTTAAAGTATGTACGCCATACAGTTGATACCTTTTCAGGATTTTAGTGGGCTTCTGCCTTAAGTTCTGAAAAGGCTGATTTTGTAATTACACAGTTATTAGACATGATGACTATCTTAAGGATACCTTTACTGACTAAAACTGATAATGCTCCATCATATGTGTCCAATAAAGTGTAGTATAAAACATGTTACAGGCAAACCTTTACAATCCTATAGGTCAAGTGGTTGTGGAAAGATCTAACTGCATTTTAAAGGAGATGCTTATAAAATAGAAGGGGGATATGAGTTCACCCAGAGATAGATTACATAATGCTTCATTAATTTTAATTTTTTAATGTTAATGAGACAGGTAACACAGCTGCTGAAAACGACTAGAGTTTAGATACGACTGTTGAATAAAATCAGCCTATGTACTTTAAGGCTGTGTTAAGCTCAGAATGGAAGTCAGGAAATGTGTCGCATCGCATAAAAGGCTATGCTTTTATTTCTGCAGGAAATGAAATGCTGTGGAGCCATTCAAAGTTAATTAAGATTAGGCTTGACCCTGGAAGACCTCCAGAAAATCTTGGCTGCTGATGTGGAAAAAGAGGCCCAGAAGAATAAGAAAACAGGTGACTCGAGTACTGGTCCCCTTGTGTGGGAACAGATCAGGAGGCCAGCTGAGACATGAATGTCTCTGTAGTAGCCAGAGAATCTGTTGGCTATCAGGTCCTCATGACTTACTATTACGTGTCATCCTGTCATGTGGCATGAATGGGATCTATAAAACCCTATTACGGTTTGGTTATGCAGTCCAGTCAGATTTACAAAGATTGTCAGATAAACTTTTACCTGCTCAAGCAAAGAGTAGAGACTCATTGTTAGCTGATTTGTGCACACTGCACATTTCCATACATGTGTTACTGCAGAAGTGTCCCTACAGTGTTACCAGAGCTGGGGCAGGGTGGAATTCCTTAGCATACATGTGTTACTGCAGAAATGTCCCTACAGTGTTAGCAGAGCTGGGGCAAGGTGGAATTCCTTAGCAGGCAAAGATGCAGACTGATGCAGAGGAAGCAGGAGGAAGGCAGAGCTGAGATAGAGGTTGGTTGTTTGGTTGGTTGGTTGGTTTGTTTGTTTGTTTGTTTGTTTTGAGATAGGGTTTCACTTGTCTGGATTCAATTTTTGAATAATACTTTTTATAATATTTTTATCATAGAACACTAAGTGTGTGTGCGCGCGCGTGTACGCCTGTTTGATTCTTTTTCTCTTAAAAGCCTGGAGTGAGAAGTCTGTTTTGATGAGTATTCAGGAGGCAAAATAATTTTTTATAAATAAGTGTATGCTCTGCATCTTTAAGGTAAAACATGGCTCAGAATTAAAAGAAGTCTTTGTCTTTCAGAATGACATTGACTTTTGTTGTGGGAATAAGAACTAACATGCTTCAGTTCTAAAAGATGTAGGATTTGCTACTTGTACTGAAAAAATTTGATTCTGTTACGTAATTTTATGTCATCCTTCAGTAAATGAGATTGGCCATGCTACGTATGTATGTATATGCATACATCAGGATTTGATGAGAAGTAGAAGTGAGGGGTTTTGACGACATTAGATAATTGCAATCAAACTTTTATTTTGGGTACCAGGGATATAGGTCTTGATTGTAAGAGTGCTTTACCAGATGTATACAAGGATCTAGGTTCAAAAAACAGAACCAGTTGTGTTCTTAATATTTAAAGCATACTCTGTGGTGTATGTGTGGATGTCAATATGATTGTTTTCTTTGCCCTGTTGGATTTTGTTGTTGTTTTTAGGACCATGTGAATAATGGTTTTCATTCACACATAATTCAAATTAGAAAGATAGCATATTTCAGCGTCTGGATTAAAGTATATCTGGGTTATTTAATGACATTCCTCCAACGATGGCATACCTAGGGAGCTGAGTGTGAGTAAGATACTTAACATAATGAAGCATAGAAAGTTAATCTAAATACTTGAAGAGACTTGAATAATTGGGGTTTTTTGTTTTTTGAGAGACAGACAAGTAATCCTGGCTGTCTTGGAATCCCTCTGTAGATTAGCCTCAAACCCAGAGATTGTCCTGCCCCTGCCTCTCCAGTGCTGAGAATAAAGGCAAGAACCATCATAAAAGGAACATAACCAAGCAAAACAGGGCGTGTTATAGCTGGTTTGTAATGCATGTAAGTGTATACACAAGACCCTCAGTTGTATTATCAGTACTGTGAAACAAGTCAAAGAAAAAGACAGGGAATTAGTTAGTGTATGTTGATGAAGGCTTTTAAGGATAATGATCTTAAAAAGTCATTCAAGTTAAGTGAAAGGTTCTGACTAAAAATGATTGCGAAAAGCTGTTTCAGATAGGAAACTCATTGAGAAAGGATGCCTAGCAAAAGATGAGATCAGAAAAGCTAAGAGGCATGTGTTGTCAAGAGTTGCTAGGATCATCTGTGCACTGGAATCCTATTGCACACTTGCCCTCTATAGATTTTTAGATGGCTTTGAGTCTGAGGTATGAACATAAATTATAGGTGATTTTTATTTTTTGTTGACTTTTGTTTGAGATATGGTTTCACTATTTAATAGCCTTGGCTAGCCTGGAACTCACTACTGTAGACCAGGCTAGCCTCTAATTCACAGAAATCCATCTGTTTCTGCTCGTAAATGCAGGGATGAAAAGCATTGGTCATCATACCCATCTTAAGGTAGGTGTGTGTGTGTGTGTATGTGTATGTGTGTGTATGTTTATATTGGCTTATTTTCTCAGCTTTATAAGTTATACACGTTTTCTCTAATCCTTCATTAGCCTTTTTTATCTGGGTGTTTTTGTTTTTGTTTTGAGACAGGCTCTGGGATTGTTGCCTTAGCTCCCCTATGGTCCTAGTGCTGGAGTTACAGGTGTGATCCACTGTACCTGGATTTTTTATTGTTTTGTTTTGTTTTTATTCTTCTACTGATCCCCATTTTTATTTTGATGTATTCTATTGCCTGTGCCCATGTCAATGGTTTTTCTCTCCCATCAGTGACTTTATTTAGGTTTGTTTATAAGTATGTGGGCACACTTGCAGTGACTGTACATTCCCTCTGTCAAGCATTAACTGTATAAATACTGTTAGGAGACGTGAAGCCCCATAAGACGCTGTCCCTTCCTAGCAAGATGTTGACAGACCCTGTCTTGTTCACAGCTTCAGTATAGGTTTCATAGCTACTGTGAAGTTTAAGGGTGCAACAACAGGTCAGTGTTTCATGTGGGTTATATAAATGTCCTGTTGAACAGAGCACTCAACAGTCACATACTCTCAGAGCATTTGCTTAGCAAGACTTCCCAAAGACCTTGGAGGAAGAATAAGGACCACTATGGGATCTAGTGTCTGCCAAAATGCTTATCTGTGACCTTGCTTCATTACCCAAGCAGCCCTTGTTTCCTCTATATTCTAGGACTTTTAGAATCCCACCCTAGTTTTACAATAGCCAGTGAAATTATATGTTGCAATGTATGGGAAACAAACAAAAATTATATAATAGCCTTTAACAGTTCAATCTAGTCTGTACTACCACAAATAAAAGTTGTTTTCTTGAAATAGCTTTTGTGTCCCGTCTCTTTGTTCAGAATCCCACATCTCTTGATGGTGTCATTTCCCTTTTCACCAGGCTAAGACCTGGTGCCCATCCCACATTGCCAGGGTAGAGACCCCTGGGGCGCAGCAGAATTTTGTAAGTCTCAGGAACCAGAAGAAGGAGGGGCCTGATCATCTTCTGGAACCCCAGGACTTGCCCAAGTACTCCAGTATAGGTAGGAGTTGCACAGTGGCTCAAATAGAATAGTAAGCTGGAAATAAGTGAGAATGTCTGGATGAAATGGTCAAGGGACTTGACCACACAGGCCAAAGCAGTAGTCAGGTCAGCTCCAGTTACATGGTGACCTCGTCCAAAACGGGTTCCAAAACGGGGATTTCTTATTTTAGTTGTTTTATGTGTGTGAGTACACTGTCGCTCTCTTCAGATACACAGAAGAGGGCACTGGATCCCATTACAGATGTTTGTGAGCTACCATGTGGTTGCTGGAAATTGAACTCAGGACCTCTGCAAGAGCAATCAGTGCTCTTAACCACTGAGCCATCTTTCCAGCCCAGTCTGGGATTTCTTTTATTTATTATTATTGTTATTATTATTATCATCATTATTATTCCATTCATTTACATCTCAAATAATATCCCCCTTCCTGGTTACTCATCCTACATCCGCCCTCTCTCCCCTCCCCTCAGTCTGGGATTTCTTAATAAAACAAAGAACCTGAAATATCCCCGGGGGGAGGGGAGCGGCTAGTAATGAATGAAGCAAACGTTCATCATTTTTAGCCCTCTGTGTATGTGATTGCTGTGTTTCAGTGAAGTGTTGAGAGCTGTCACAGGAACTCAGAATACCCACATCCGTTCCCTTACATTGACTGTTGGCTAGCTAGATAGCTCTTTCCTACCTACAATGCTTACATCCAATTACAGGAAAATTTTAAACTATGCTAGCAAGGATAATAGTTAAAATCATAGATCAGAACCTGAGAAGCCTCTTCTGAAGAATTGTACCCCTTGTCAGTTCCATCTGAGGCCATACTGTCCCCTGAAGGCTACTAGAGTCTCTTACTAGAAATCACACCAGAACTGTCTGATTTAACTTCATATATTCAGGTTTAAAAGATATATTCAGGTTTGAAAGCATCAGAAATCCAACCAGTAATACTACTCTCTGCAAAGACCACCATGGTACTTAGCCATTGTTGTAAGGACATTCTCAAGAGCCTTTAAAGAGATCTATCTAGCAGGACGGTGGTGGCGCACGCCTTTAATCCCAGCACTTGGGAGGCTGAGACAGGTGGATTTCTGTGTTCGAGGACAGCCAGGGCTACACAGAGAAACCCTGTCTTGAAAAACCAAAAAAAAAAAAAAAAAGATTTAACAGGCCCTTACTAAAGTGCCTGGCTTGCACTCCCAAACACAGCATAGACTTTCACTTTGCATGAACACACTGATACCATAGTAGGTTTTTAATGTAGATGCTAGATTCTTGATTTTCAAGACTGGCCACCATCCTTTGAAGCAGTTGTACTGCTTGTGCTAGGATTTAACCATCTGGCCTCACAGGAAAGACTTCAATGGAGGGAAGGATCAGGATTGGCTAACCAATGCCAGGATACTCAGATATCAGGGAAGGTTTTTATTTGACAGTGTTACAAAACGGAAACCTCTCAACTTTGCTGCCTGTTGGGTCAGACCAAGCAGATCATGTCTACAATGAGGTCATAAATGACCTGTTTTTCAGCTGGTCTTTAACAGACCAGCCTCTTAAAAACTCTTGATATAGAACAGACCATTGATGTCAGTAACTTTGTCAAGGAAGGTGAACCCTTTTATGGTTATTCTATAGTGACACTTAATTCTATCACTATGGCCAAATCCACCAAAGGAGACTTGAACAGAGCCTTCCTGCTGGCTAAGCATCAACATCTTCTGTAGCAGCAGCATGCATACAGAAACACACACAGGGCCCTAATTAAATAAAAAGGCCTTGATTAGTTTTGGAAGAAAGAGACAATATGGCAGGGAATCCTGGAACATTTAGAGGCTATACCAGTCCTAAAAAGAGTGGCCATTGTGCACTGTTGGGAATACCAGAAGAGAGGGTACTACAGTTTCCCAGGAAATTGTACAATAATCCAGGGGCAAAACTGGTAGCTTCCAGCTCTGTGCTATTTCCAAGCCCATTGGCCAGACAGGACTTGAGACTGAGAATGGAAGTTATCTCTGGTGATGGTGAGTTCAAAGATGAGAATAGCAGTCCCTGAAGCTACCACTCCTGCTGTGAAATAATTCCATCATGGAACCCATGTGACCTCTATACCTATGTTGGGTCAACACTTAATATTCCTCCGCATTTTGGTACAGCCTGATGAGTGTGAACAATGTGAAACACAGAATAACCTGCTACAGACCTAGAGGTCTCCTTGGGAATACAAAATGTTAGGAGTGGATTTCACTGCAATGCCTCTGGTCTGTGGCTACTACAGATACTTGCTAGTCTTTGTGTGCATTGTCTCAGGCTGGGTATAAGGTTTTCTTAGTCATATGTGAAAGGCTTATGAGGTGGCCTTACTTCTCTTAAAGGAGATCATTCTTCAACTTGGAATTTCTATCAGTACAGGATCAGATATGTTTGTGGCCAAGATAGTATGACTGGATAGTAAATAGAGCATAAGGCCTTCAGAGCTCTGGGCTGTGGGAGCATGTGAATCAGACATTGAAGCTACAGCTAAGCAAAGAGACACTTAAACTGAAATCACTGTTGCCAATTGCTCGCTTAAATATTAGACTACCGAACACAATTCTTTCCTTATGAAACTCTTTATTGGTGCCCTCCTCCCATTATTAGCATATGGGGAGGTTAGGGTGATATCACTTTAAGATAACACATGAAGGTACTTAACTCAGTCCTGGCCATAATACATCATAGATATTGGAGAATTGGGCCCCCTTGAGCCCTATAATGAACCAGGGTACTTGAGTCTGGCCACTAAAATTTGCCTCCTAAAGATTTCAATGATATGAAAGAATTGTCTTGCTAGATAGGAACAATGAACATTCCATTTGGAAGTTAACATGCGTGGGTCAAGTTTTTTTTTGGGTTTTGTTGTTTTTGTTTTTATTGAGAGACAGGGTTTCTCTGTGTAGCCTTGGCTGTCCTTGAACTCTGAAGACCAGCCTGGCCTCGTCAAGCTCTGCCTGCTTCTGCCTTCCCAATGATGGGATAAAAGGCATGCACCACCATCCATGAATGGATAGAGGGAATCTTGGGACTGCTGTTCCCCCATCTACATGTTAAATCACATCATCAGATTACAGGAAGTTTTTGTGAGTATAGCCAATGAAATGGCAAGGGTTCTGATATTCTAGCCAGACAATAAACTGAAATACAGTGCCATTTACCAAAATTCATTGGCTTTAGACTATTAACTTCCTCTGAAGAAATTGTTATGGAAAATTCAACCTAAGCAACTATTGCTTAGAAATAGATGATGGAGAAGTTACTGAAGATATGACAGATGAAATGAGGAACGTTGCTCATATCCCACAGGCTTGGAATGGCTGAAGCCCACGTAGCTTGTTTAAAGGATGGTCTTCAAATTGGGGGCAATTCAAGTCCTTCCTACATGGCAGGCCTTAAATATTAGGGGTTTGTGGGAGCTTTCACTTGAAATCCTGCACTGTAGAAATGGAAATAGAAGTGCCAAAGTTCACTGGCCAGCCATTCTAGCCTAATTGGTGAGTTCCAGGCCAATGTAAAACCCTCACCTATGGATTTAAAAACAAACACCCTGGAAAATCACCTAAAAAGGAAACCACTTGAGGAATTAAGCCATATTAAAAACATTCAGGGATAGAATATTTGAGACTATTCACACATTAGGAATTTTTATTAGATTGTTTCTTGTTTTTTAAAAGATTTAACTACCAAAGGGATTTTTGGATAATAAATCAATATTTTGCAGATCTTTCCTATTGCTAGTAGTAAATTGTAAGAAAAACTTGGTGAAGACTAAAGGGTTGTTTGGTTGGTGGTTTTGTTTTTGTTTTTGTTTTTTGCCATTAATTAGATATATAGGCCATACTATGTTACTGAGTTCAGAATCTCATTTTCTGTGCTGGTTTTTAATGTCAATTTGATACAACCTAGAGTCACCTCAAAACTAAAAACCTCAACAGAAAAATTACCTTTTTTACAGAGAAACCCAAACAAAATTGTTTTCATTAGGATGGCCTGTGAGCACATCTGTGGGGAATTATTTTGACTTTTTTTTTTTTTTTGGTTTTTCGAGACAGGGTTCTCTGTGTAGCCCTGGCTGTCCTGGAACTCACTCTGTAGACCAGGCTGGTCTCAAACTCAGAAAGCCGCCTGCCTCTGCCTCCCAAGTTCTGGGATTAAAGGCATGCGCCACCACCGCCCAGCTTTTTCTTGACTTCTAATTGCTATACTTCGGCACAGTCAGTCCACTGTAGGCATTACCATTCCCTGGGCAGTGTATTTGAAAAAGCTAGCTACATATAGACCAGAGAGTAAGCCAGTCTTCCTTCATGTTTTTTTTTGTTTGTTTTTGTTTTTTTTGTTTTTTTTTGTTTTTTCGAGACAGTGTTTCTCTGTGTCGCCCTGGCTGTCCTGGAACTCACTTTGTAGACCAGGCTGGCCTCGAACTCAGAAATCCGCCTGCCTCTGCCTCCCAAGTGCTGGAATTAAAGGCGTGCGCCACCACCACCCGGCCCTTCCTTCATGGTTTTGGCTTCATTTCCTTTTTGAATTCCTGCCCTGACTTTCTTTAGTGATGGCCTGTGTCCTAGAAGTAGAAACTGAACTCTACTTTTTTATTTCCACTCCAAGTTGCTTTTGCATGGTGTTTATCACAGTAACAGAAAGCAAACTAGGACACCACCTGAGTCCTTTTGGTTTTAATCTCAATGCCTTCATGCTTCTGTGCATGACACTAGACCTAGTAATAACTGCATGGGATTTTATTTTATGAGGATATTTGCTTAATTG